TTTTTTTTGTTTGAAAAATCACTGACAGAATATATTTTAATTTTAATTAAAATAAACTTTATCAAAAATCTTTTAAATGTAATTATTTTTTTGTAAATGTAAATACTTTTTTGTTATATTTGTTTAATTTTATAGATCTAAATACTTTTTGATTCAAAAAATATTTAGGGGCTTAATCATTCAAAATATGAATGTTCATTGGGTTTTTTTGGGGATTTTTTTCACTATTTTACCACTTTAACTAGTTGTACAAGTCATAAGAATGTATCCAACATGTTTTATAAAAGTTCAAGAAGTTATTTAACATGTTTTGGATTGTTCAAGGACTTATTTGTTCCAAAAATTGTCCAATGACTTAATTTAACATTTTTTGGAATGTCCAATGACTTATTTGTTCCAAAAAATTGTCCAAGGACTTATTTAACATGTTTTGRAATGTCCAARGACTTATTTGTTCCAAAAAAAAGTCCAAGGACTTAATCATTCCAAACAAGAAAGTCCATTGGTTTTTATTGTACTTTTCCCTAATTTAAACTGCAAACTAAATTATATTAATACATAAATTCAAAAATAATTCAATCAACACAAATATGTAAAAAATAATAATTATTTCAGGAAAAATTATAATAATGTGAAAACTATACATATATATACATAGACAAGGGAGGTTCAAATGAACAGCAAAAAGGTTGGAATCATTGAAAAAGTTTTATCCAAGGGACGTGAATAAAAAAGTGGTCAATTATTATTTTTACAACTAAAAATACACCCCCCAGGTTCCTAACCTTCTTGTTGTTTTCCATTTGAACCCTCCTATACATTAATGAAGAAGAAAGTTTGCACTAATATAATGAAAATCACTGCGAGTCAGCAGCAGGTGGTGGTGTCTGGGTTTGAACCTGAGACCTCCTCTGCGGATGCCCACCATCCTACAACTGAGGCAGGGACAAAAAAATGGAACTGGGAGTGTCTAAAAAGATGAATTGATTGAAAAAACAGATTAAAGGTTCTCATGCCATTACAGAATTCAGAAAAGAAACGGCAAAGTTGGAATGATGCTAATAGATCATGTAAAGTGGTGCATGAAAGCAAAGATGAAACTTTATCTGTTAGGGGCATATTATGATAAATCAAGAATATATGTATACTATATTATAAAACATTTGGTTAGAAGTCTTAAAAACCATTTATTAAGCATTAAGTGCGACTTATTAATGCATAATCTCTTAATTTTCAAGTTTACAAATAAGTATTGCATACGCAAAACTTTTTAAAGCTCTTTGAACTCAATAAACTAACTAATAACCAGCTAATTAACACATTCAAAACTTCAAATACCACATAACCATTGAGTTTAGTAGGATAGAGTACTCCATAATTATCTTCATCCAAAGAAATACTCTTATCATTTAACCTAAAATATTTTACATATATATTTTTAATCTAAAATATTTAAATTATAATAAAGTTTAAATTAAACAAATTATAGAAAAAGAGAATTTTATAATCTTTAATTTGACACCCATCTCAATATTTTTTTTTGGGAATATTTTACTGGATCTTCAAATCAGCAGACATATTCCATCATCACTAGTAATTTCTATTTTGGTCAAACATACTTTTCAGATTTTCCTTTTTCATGAGAAATTGCATTATTTATTCGTTTTCGGTTTGTATAAAATCCTACATCCCGCTGCATTGGTACAGCTAGTGTGCGTGGGCATAAATATATGAAAGCAATTTGGACAGATAGAGAGAAAACTAGGATTTAAACTTCATAGCTGACAGGTGTTGGAATCGAGAACATTGGCAAAGTAAATTCAGATAATCTGATGCAGACTACAATACTAAGAACACTTTGCACTTGGGTTTGACAATCCAAAAATTGAAACTTGTAGGAAACAATTACGTGAAATCAAACAGGAGTAGATTTTTAAAAGTACATTAGTTTTTCTAGTAAATGCTTTTTCAGTTACATCTGATCTAAGCGGTTCATATGGCGCTAGTAAAGTACCTTAGTTTTGCTAAGCGGTTCATACAAGCAGCAGCAGCATGTGAATTGTAATCCCTAAGAAGAACCGAATAAAGTCCATCCTTGTTACCATTCCCTGTTGCAGTCATATAACAATGACTTATGTCCTTATCAGTTGCTTCAAAACAATAAGCAAATAAGTAGTATTCTTCGTGGTACTACTTGGCTTTAATCAGGTTTCTACATTGTGCAGAAGTTGCAACTTCATACGATGAGAACAGCCTCTCCTATTGCATGGAGATAACTGTAACGTCAAAAGACGTATGGCATGAAAGCCATCCACTAAAATCATTTAACTCAACATAAACAGATCTCATAGTGCACGGATCTGCCTACCATGGACATTGATCTTCAGACCAACATATGGGGGAAGACGAATTGAAGAAATGAAAATGCACGTGTAAGTCTAGAAAAAGCCAGAAAGCAAAGCAGATTATGCAGGAATGTTCCCAATTATCTAGTCACCAAACATACTATTTTTGTTTGATAGAAAAATCTAATCATGCAATTACTGAAGAAAGAAGAAAGATACACAAACAGATCGAAGTTATGATTGCAGTAAAATGCTCAGAGCACTACCATGGAAATAACATTAAAGTTTAGTTCCAGAAATACAAAATGTTGAGAAACTTTTGAGTTCTTCTGTTTCACCAAGTAAATTTGACCCTTACAAGACCCAGGGCAAGCAAGGGGCAGAAGAGACGGGATAGGCACATGTTGACAACTCAACTGTCAAGGATATAAAAGACAAAAGGACATTCTATTTTTCTACCCACTAAACAATACTCATATTGCTTCGTGATGAACATTCATTGGGAACCACATACACATATTGCTCAAGAAAGGCACTTGGAGAGAACTATATCAGCAGGGCACCTTTTATCTCTCACATTTCTAGAAGATCTGATCATCATGATTAGTAGATCATAAGTAGGTGAATCTATCAATTGTCTTTTGGTGATGCAATGATGTCATAGTAATGCATTTCCATATTTATACTGACTACGGGCTGTTAGGTTGATTTTATATCAAGTCATGTATGGATTAAGTTATCCGTTGTAGATTAAGTTGTTGTATGGATCAATCTAAATTGTTGTTCGTTTATTGTGCTGAATAACTGTCTAATTGATGTAGGCTATATAGGTTATTAAGCCATTACAGAACAGGCCCTAAGTGTATATATATGACCTTCAATATACTGGACGGAGCATCAAGTAATTGATCATCTGTAATCATTTAGAGCTCAAGAGGATACACGTGCTCCTTACTAGATGGCATTCACAAACTGCTCTCAGATTTTGTAAAAGCGGACGTATGCAAGTATAGCGAGTGGAACAGAAAGAAAACTGACCTAAAGTAGCCTTCCCAAGCTGGCCACTTATAAGTTCACTATTGTGGATGTAGACATATCCATCATTAGGACACATTGTCTCGTAAGGCTTGTCCCTTTTTCCACTCGGCTTGGTGTAACTCTTTTCAGTAAGAATGAGATTCAGATAGACTCTCATATCTGCATGTGGGCGCAACAGTACACTAAACAATTGTTTACCAGTCCAAAGCTCTATTGGCTGCAAAATAGTATAATAAACCAATATCAAACAATAGAACTGCATACATGCAGATAAAGGCATATAAAATCCATAATCAGTATTTCAAAGCTAAATAACACCAATTCATACCGTCATATTATGTTCATGAGGATTGAAAAATCTTCAAATGGGTAAAGCAAAAAAAAAAAAAAACAACAGCATGCCTGTTGTATCAACAGAAGCTCTCTAAGCAATACCAGTTACCAGAGCTCACAATTTTGAAGACTTAAATGCACCAATGCAGTTATTGGGCATATATATCGAATCTACCATATTTGACCAATCAGTTAAAGGTCTACAAGTTTCTTAGCTTGATCACTGCAAGTGAGAGCTTAGTGCTTTCACCAACCATGAAATGAGTATTAGCAACCAACTTAAAAAAGCCTTAATATCACATCGATACAAATAGAACTCTACTATATAGGCAAAGGATTAAGCTCATGAAAATTGTCTTGGACTTTCTCAATTGAAGCAGCAACAAGGGTATGTGATGAACTACTATATCACCTAAAACAATCATATACACAGATAACATAATTGACATATCCGCAAAAAATAATCAGTTGGAGATGATCAAATTTAAAAAATAGATGGTGCAAGTTCTCTTATCTTGCCTTGACTACAGCAGGAGTTGGCAAATCGAGAGGATCCATTGCATCACCCATATAACAACACATAAGTGCAAATGAAGCACGATCATAGAAAGTGTCCTTCCTTGTTATAAGGAAGGAAGATGTCAAGAAATCTTGAGTAGATGCGACCAAAATCTCCCCGTTCTTTGGCGTGCATAAATTGTTTTGCACCTGCATTATTGGAAACAAACATTTAAGTGGCAATAACAATATATGATGTCACAAATAACCTAATGCAGCGTATGTGATGCTAAAGCATTAAACTTCCTACTCCACTTTACTACAATGAAGACTGTTTGTCTCTTCTATCAGTTTTTTCTTTTATTCATGGTGTGCTCCAAGAGGTTCGAGAAAAGATTCAAACTTTTGACCCGGCATTTAGTGATTACCAATATGCAGCAAGACGAAGACAGTTCCAATATGGGATACCATTCAATTTAGGGTAAGATGAAAACTTTTAACCCAGCATTTGGTACCATTCAATTTAGGGTAAGACAAAGACAGTTCCAATATGAAGTAAAATGTTATAATAGAAAGCTTCAGAGATAAATAGAATGGTACTTAACTTATGATGTTTGAACAGAGCTACAATATAGCACTGAAGGGATTCTGCTCCATGGTATACATGTTAATGGTGAATAAACACTCTAACATGATTATTCCTCTAATGACCAACTTCTAGATATAATCTAATCTTCAGTTGCAAGACCCACAAGTTGCCAAGTATTGCACAGTTGAGATTATGTCAATCCCATAAATCAAGGTGTAAATCCCATGGGTCAGGAGATTGATTTATTTATAACAATAGGATGATTTTCCTAAAAAAATAAGCACCGAACGCCTATATGTCGCAAGGCCTTATGCATAATGAAATCAAGTGAAATATTTTCAGTTTCATAATACGTAGTTTAATATGGTATCATAGTAAGGATTGAAACCCTAGCTCATTAGAAACCCAGAAACTCAATGGTGCTAGTGTTCATCGTCAGTGTTATTGTGTTACTGTTTTCATTCATTGTTCGTTGTCATCAGTCGTTCATTTGCACAGTTCACGGTATTTTTCATCCTATTTTGGTTTTTAATCCAGTCCAGCCACAATAAATTAATCCATTTAAAAAACAAAGGGTTTTGGTCTCGTTTTGCTTTTCAAGGTTCTCGTACCATTACCCTTTCTACTAGTGAACATAATGAGTACATGCAACATAGGCAACCCAACAAGTAATTTTACAGTTTGTCTCTCTCACTCTATACTTAGTGTATGGGTTTTTGATTCCCAAGCTTGTGATCATGTGACCGGTAATTCCTCCCTTTTCCCTGAAATATCACACCCCAAAATTCCAAATTATGTCACTTTTGAATTTAGGTCAAATATTCAGATAACAGGTGTTGGACGAGGCTCACTCACTTCCTCAATATCCTTGTTACTGGTTTCAAATTGTCCCTTCAATTTGGTTTCTATAAGTAAATTAACTTGCCCCTCTTTATTTGTGCTATAACCTTAGATTCTGATTCATTCTTGATACATGATCGATTGGAGCAGGATCTGAATCTAGTGATCTCTACTACCTCCGGCTTGCTACCTGTATATGTGTTGCTATTGAATATCCTTCTCCTCATCGTCGTTTTGGTCACCCAACTCTACCCAAGTTACAAAAATTGGTATCTAGCCTCTAGTTATCCCAATTTTTTATAATGAGAGTCTTGTCAGTTACAAAAACGTGTCCAAGTCTCTTTTTCCAAACGTATTAATAAAAGGTTGTACCTTTCTTTGATATTGTTCATTTTGGTGTTTGGGGCCCAAGTCGTGTTCATCTATATGTTTTCGGTATTATGTTGCATTGTTGCTTTTGTTGATGATTTCTCAAGGTGTACATGGGGTATTCTTGAAAGATTGTTTTTTGTTGTTTAATACTTTTAAGAACTTTTGTTCAAATATTATGGCTCCATTTGGCAAAACAATTAATGTCTTGCATAGTCATGATGCCAAAGAGTATCTCTCAATCTCTTACTGTTTTAAATCTTTTACACATTTCAATGACATTATACATCAATCTAGTTGCCCTCATACACCTCAACAAAATGGTGTTGCTGAAATAAAATACTTACATATTGTTGATACATCTTGCACTTTTAACTGCCAATGTGCCCTTAAAGGCTTTGGGTGATGTCCTTATTGTTGTATATTTAATACATTAGAGGTCATCTTTTGTGTTAAATAGTCAAGTCCTCCATTCTCTTTGGTATCTTATGGACCCTTTATATGTCATTCACCCTCATATCTTTAGTTTGGACTTGTTTTCTTCATGATCAATTCCTAGGTCGTGATAAGTTGTCTGCCCAAGCTATCTAATATATTTTCCTCGGTTACTAGCTTGGTCAAAACGGTTATCGTTTTACTACCCTTCTACAAATCACTTCTATGTGTTTGTAGATATTACCTTCTTTGAGGACATATGATACATTGTCACTACCAACATACCTAAATGTCACTACCAATATCCCTTCAAAGGACTTGGATCAAGTTCTCTTTGTGCCCTATTTCGACTGTGTTCAAACTACTCCCATAACCTCTATTTCCCAAGAAATGCCAAATGCTCCCTCACCTCCACCACAATCTCCTCCACCTACAAATTAGAAAGACTCAAAAGCTTGCCATCTGAGAAGGACAACAGAACATAACATATGGTGACAGGAAATGAATATTTTGTAGTGGCTGTAAATATTAAAAAGGGTATATGTATCACTTAATAGCCAACTACAAGCTCCAAGTTCAAACTGTGACTGATTTATTATGCATATCAATGATATTCTACACCTGCATAACAAAAGAAGTGATCTATTAAGATGATTACCCCCATCAGCATAAGAGCCTCCGTTCGAGCCTCTTCTGTTTGCGGAACATGCATATTCATCTCGTCACCATCAAAATCAGCATTGTAAGGATTGCAAACGGATTCATTGAATCTCAATGTGCGCCAAGGCATAATCCTTGCCTGCATCCAACAAATGATGAATAATCGAATAATGAACTAGTCACAACTTTTAATGCAGAAAAGTTCATCACTCACCCTGTGGCTCATGATTGACATACGATGTAAGCTAGGTTGCCTGTTAAAGAGAACCACATCACCGTCTACTAAATGACGGTCAACGACGTCACCAAATTTCAACTCATCAGCCAAACGCTTTCTGGCATTGATACTCAATGACCTGCGGCAGTACATATTACCAAATTATGTTCATTCATTAGAATTCATAACTCAGCACCAACAATCCTTACATCATGGTACCATCTGGCTTTCTGATATGCTTTGCACCAGGGTATTTAGAAGTTCCATTACGGACAGCATGTCTCAGTCTCTCTATATTGTGATGTGAAACACGCTCGGGATAAGTTAAAATGCGAGCCATTAAGATAGGAATTGCAACCTGGACCAATTATCTCATCAAAAAGAAATCAATATTCTCACAGAAAGTATTCAAGATCATCAATCACCAAAGCTGTTTGTCTACACAGACAAGGAAATGGAAAAAAATGAGGAAGCAAATGACAGAGTTCAGACCTCTGTTATCTTTAGATTAGGGTCGGGTGAGATAACCGTCCTGCCAGTATACTCAACACGCTTCCCAGACAAGTTCCCTCGAAAACGTCCTTGTTTCCCCTTCATGCGCTGAACAAGACCACTCATAGGTTTGGCATTTTGCATACTCAATTGTGGCGGTACACGAACATCACTGTTTATATATAGCGCAACCATAAGTTGCAGATGCTCCCACCCATCCTGCAAGAACATCATCACAAAATACAGCTGAGTCTAAAGTCTAGATGCATCTAATTCAACCCTTCAGAATAGATTAAAAATAGAATATAAAGTATATATTCAAGATGGATAATATGAATCCTGTGTATGCATTGTAACAAGTACACAGCAAAGTCTATAAGCATCTGAAAGCAATTGCCATCTTTCCCTCATAGAAAAATGTCCAGGGAAGAGAATGTTATTGGAGAGTACATTCAACTCATGCATCAGTAGCTTAAGTAAATGAGGTGCCAAGGCTGGAAAATGGAACACAATTATCATGGCATTCTATGTGATTTACCTCGGTGCATTTTATTCAATACAGATAGGAGAAGAACCCAAGCTGATAAAATTGACAAGATTAAAAAGAACTACAATAAGGAAACTGAGAACGAAGACATACCAGGCTTTTATTATTAACACTTGTTTCTGATAACACCTGATTAAGAGTAGCATTGGCCTTTATAATTTCTGCCAATCTCAGGGTAATGTCATTCTCATTGCTGCAAGATAAGAGAAATCATTAGTCGAGGTACAACTCCAACTGATGCAAACCCCAAACACATTTTTATTTCCTTCTCCCCATACACAACAGTCAGCAATTGCAAGTGTTATCATTTAGACCACTCTTCTCAATGTATATGCATATTATCCTGTATCTTGTATCAACATTGTATGACAACATAGATCCACCATTCTTGGATGCCACTACTCTAATTTTTGGTACAGATCTTTAATTGCATACCTGAAACATGGCAACGAACCCTACACTATCACTCAGAAAACAGAAATTGCAGGCAGATAGAAGATACAAGGTAAGCAAACAAGAAGTCAACCGAATGACTGAAACTCAATTGAGGTGTAGTTTGCAAGATCGAAAATCAAGTGTTATAAGTCTCAACTCTTAGGCTATTACTTTATGGCATTTCATCATTTTAATATAGTTGATCCCCTTTGCTTGGTATAAAGAGAAATGATGATGTAATAATGGGGCCCCTGTACTTGATGTGAGAAGATATGAAGATAGTCCCACAAACTTAAGGACGGAAATGTAGGAAAATGATCAAAACAAATCGAGCCTGTATACTTGGTTCATCAAAAGTTTGGGATCAACCAGAGGTAGAACCAAGGAAAAGAACTTAGGGAAAAAAAATTGCAAAAAGACGAAACCATATTCCACATATACCATGCTTAGAGTACTTACTCCAATAACACGAAAAGAAAACTCAAATAAGTACATACTCCCTCCACACCAACTTCAACATCTAATACCATTTTCTAATTTTCCTTTTGTTTCTCCTTTTTAGGTTTATTAAAATTAGCTGAGCACAAGGAATATAAGAAGTGAAAGAGCTCAATTCTTGATTTAAATAAATTTAAAAATAAACCATCAAACTACACAAAATCCTTAGATTGAAATAAGAGATGTGCGTTTGCTAAAAAAATCTTGTAATTTCTGCTCAAAAAATAGTAAATTAGCAGCAACATTTTAAGATGTCTACGCATTTATGTCGATGAAAAAACAGTGTGTTTGTTAATATTACGCATTTATGTCGATGATTCTAAGAATGTGTACACTTCAAGTTTGATATAAACTCACAGGTATAGAGAATATAGTAACTAGAGAGGATCCAAATTTTATTTAACATGTCTCATTAATAAACGATCTCAAGTTTGGAACAAGGACCAGATGCAACTTGGCTTTACAGATTACCAACCCTCTCATAATCCAAAATGGTAAGACTTGTTTGTTTGATATGTTCGAAAGTTGGACCATGAAGGAAGATGCATAGCTACACCCATCACCAAAGGCAGAAGACAAATATTCCACAAGACTATATTTGTTAAGCCTCTAGAGGGAACTAAATTATGCAACAGCAATAAAACATTGTATAATACAAAGCACAGAGCACATCCTTCACAATAATCAAGAAAAACTCAAATTGAGCAAAAAACTTGTAATTAAGTAAACCTTGTTGTTCCACCATCAACTTTGACAGAAGGACGAATAGGTAGTGGAGGAACGGGAATGTTTGATATAATGAGTTTCTCAGGTCTATCAGCAAGATAAAGCAAATCACAATCCTGTAACACAATAAGAAAATGAAATGATTTAGAAGTAGCGATCCATAATTATACATCTACATTGCAGCATATCACGGGATCATACTCTCACCATCCCAAGATAGAGGATATACTTGGCATTCCCCTAAGATAAAGAAAAGCAACGGCTTGTGGATTTAATCCCTGAACTACCCTATTATGTGTGTCAAAGTTAGAGACCAAAACAAGTCTAGTCAAGTATTTGCGACTGCCAACCAGAACTGAAGGACAACTGCTTAATCAAATTGAATTTAATCGTTTCACGGTTTATTGCATATTTTAATTGTACATCTATATGCATGTGCATTTAATATTATATGCATAAGTACAGGATATATCAGTAATTTTATAATTTTCTATGTGTGCTAATGTTATGTTACATTATCATATCCTACCTTCAAATAATTAGCTATATAACAAATACTTTAATATATGTATATTTTTTGAAATGCTATACACTTTTTAAAGATTAAAACACTAATTCAATTCCAGTTCAGTAGTTCTTATAACAGTAATGCATGTAGGTAAGGATGGCACCAACCCAAAAACAAACCATGGCGCTGCGCACACCATCTTCCAAAACGAATAATAACAAAATAAAAATATAACTGAAAGGGAATCACTTTCAGGGGGTGCGTGGATGTGAGTCTATACTGACGATTGCGACTTCAAACTGCAATAATTAGGTTAAAAGTGTTTGGCAAATAGGATTGTGATTTTCCAACTATTTAGGGTCAAACCATATAGATTTGGAGAAGCAGATAGAGAGTTGTAAGAAAATGATTGGTGAGATAAAATTACTTATTCCCTATCTTTAAGCACCCACTTATCTAATCCACATTTCTTCAAGTTGCAACTTGCAATAATCACTTTAATAACGCACATCCAAACACCCCTCAATCATATTACTTCTAGTTAGAGTGACAAAAAAAAATTAGAGGATGCAGATATGCAATTGATACTTCACTCTTAGTTTTATTTTATTTTTTTGATTAACCTAGATATCCAACCCGCTATGCGAGCCGACTAATCCCAGGGCGACCACCTGCTTTGCAGGTAGCCCGGAGTCACCGCATTTGAACCTCCGTGGCCACAAGGGAATTTTTGTTCCTCCTTGGATTTGAACCTGGGACCTCCTGGCACTTTGGACCTTTGGAGCCAAGCTCAAACCAATCAGGCACCACCCTTGTGGTTCACTCTTAGTTTTATTGTAGAGTCAAGTCATGCACAATCGACTTGCATGAATAACAAAAGGTTGCTTCATATTTTGAATGTTTTCGGTTCTTTTCTATTTCGTACTGTTTGTTTTCTATTTTCTTTCATTTACTTGCTATTCTTGAAAATAATTTGTTACCATAGATACCCTTTTAAATTATTTTATTTTTCACATATGCTTTTTTTCCTATCCACAAAGATCGAAGGTAAGAGAAACAAAGGAGAGGTAGAAATGTGACCATTGACGTAATAAAAGGTGGTCTCTTGTGAAGTTGCAAGCTAAATTAGTAGTTGACTGAGATCAATGCAAAAGGAAAACTAGTGGGGAACAGAGATAGGGCTCACAAAAGACCGGATACACCGACAACCAAATCCAACTCAAAAGTAGGCCGATGAACCCAACCCAAACTAAATTGAAATATAATTGGGTACTAAATTGAAATATAATTGGGTTCTAAATTTTATAGATTGACATGGTTGGGTCAGCATACCCAGCCCACCCTAATGAGGCTGATGAAAATTAAATAATTATGTATTATATATCAATTAATAAGCAACAACTGTCAATTACCAGTTTCGCATCTACACTCGACACTACAACTGCCAGCTTGCGTTATTGCTCTGTGTTAGTGACTTAGTTGTTGGTTGTTACAAGTTTCTCTTCTTTTTCTTCTATAAACTAATGTATCATTTAAATATCAACCATCATATATAACCGCCTACCCAACCTAGTGCAACCCAAACCAAGATTTTTCTAAACCGACAAAATTGGGTTGGGTTGTTCAAATGCCACAACCTGTCGAACCCAACCCATCTTCACCCCTAAGCAGAGACGTATGTAGTGGACGTCAGCAATTGATCCGCAACTTTTGGGGTCTCTTATGCATCTTTTATTGTGTCGTGAATCTATTATGAATTGGATTCTGAACAACAATAATTGGGATTGAAGATGATGATGAATTAGTCAGATGATCGATGAATGAAAAAGAAAAGAAAACTTTGGCTCTTGAAAGGCTAGTCTCTCCCTTATAAAACCGTAGATAATTTTCTCTATACCACTACTCTCCCACCTCACCCCGATTTATGCAATTCCCATGACCCCTTTATATTCTAATTAATACCTAGAGTACATTCCCACTAACAGACTACTCCCGAAGTCCCTGAATTGCCCCTTATGTCCTCTTCTGGAATGCATAACATACTAGTGGGTTTGGCATGTATAACATCTTTCACACTAATGACTTATGAGTGAGTGTATAACATTACCCCGCCCCAAAAATTCACCTTGTCCTCAAGGTGGGTAGAAAAAAATGAATAGACGGGTGCTATCTTATGCTTCTCCCAACCATCTTGTTAATCGGGGTTCTAACAATGCACGGTCCAAGACCATTTCCACCATGTAGTTTATTTATTGATGGGTCAGCTTGTTCAAAGCTTTCAAACACCAACACCCATTTGCTTAAATCGATGTCACAGCCGGCATCATCACTTCAAACCAAAAAACCACTTTGTCGTCCTTCTTGTTGTCGTATTAGTTTATTCTTGGGTGCGGACCGTGTTCGATTGAGGGATCAGTATCAATAAAAAATGTGGATCTTCACACCCTCTCCATAGAATGATGTACCCTAAAGTTGTGAATTTGATAGAATTGCTTATTAATTAGCAAAGACCTAAACAACTCTAGCAGAGTCTCTGAACTACTTTTGGCATATCACAAGAGACTTTTGTGACAAAATTCACTTGGTTTTTGCACCAGAAGAAAAACATATCGACTAGTTCTTCAAATTCTCTCCGTGTGTCAAACTCTGCTTCTTCCGGCATCAGTTTTCCTGATTCAACTTGAAACAACTAATTAGCTTTCTCTCTGAATAACTTGGTCAAAAATGATGGTATATCAGCATCCAAGACCTTAAGCTCGTATGCCTGGAAATTTGGGGAATCATTGGCTATAGTTGCTTCAAAGAATTTATCAAGGCTATCCATTAAGAGCATCATAAATCCATTCCAACCATCGACCTTTAACAAGAGATATGAACCCTTTCACTCGTTACTTCAGTTTAAGCTAAAGATTGATATCCTTGGCCTTTTTCAGTGGTTGACAGCCAATTCCTTAAAGGCCGCTTACTGGATGATGAAATGCAGCAATCAAGATGTGTATAAAGTTCTTGAAACGAACGAGTCTTATACAAGAGAATCTTCACCTACAGATCTTGGTTCATCATATCATGTGTTACTATTCTTCATTGGCCCAAAGTCTACTTGCACCGTTGTACCATGCCAATTGTTGATGAGCTATTGTAGTATTGTACCATAGCTCTCATGAAATGTGCCAAATTGTTAACTACACCATTAAATGTTGCAGGGCGCCACCTTCAACATACACGACACCTTGTACTTGTACAACATTGATAACTATGATTGTTTGGAAGAGTGACCAAGTCAGACTCTAGTTCTACGAGCGTGTTTATCATGATAAGCCAGGCAAAAAACTTGGTTAAACAAGATGAAGCCAAAGTCCGGTTTCGCCTAGTCAAGTCAAGTTGAACTTGAGTAGGTTCACATTTTGTACAACCTAGAGGACCACAAGGATAGCACTTTACACACAGAATATCGTTTCATTTATGTTTGAGATAGAAGAAAGAAAAATCAACTAGTGCCACAAAATATAAAAGATCATACCTCATCCAGCATCTTCTTAAAAAGTTTAAGAACTTTGTCAGGATTTAGAAAAGAAGACAAAATAGCAGGTGTCTTCGACTCTTTCATGTGAGATATAGCATCATTGGACTCCTTTGAGGTAGTATCTTGGACTTTGTTACGGTCATGTATAACTCCTACCGTTCCAACAGCCTTTTTCACTATACCTGTAATGTATTATATATGAGTATTAGTAAACAATCGCTTAAAAAGAGTTCTCAACATCTGCAACCTGATGCTCTAAGGATTTGCTCTCCAAAAAAACACTCTTCAACTGTGTCCTTATTAGAATTAACCTATAGAAACTTCTATAGTAAGACAGATATTCTACAAGAAAAGAAGAGATGTGTTTTTTATCAGAATATCGTTGTCTTCTTATCACTTGGTACTTTATTAAATGGCATGGACATTGGAGCAAAAACAATTTGTCCCCGTGGGTGCTCCAATCTCAGATATAACCTCCTAGCCACACCTTACTGAATTAGAAAAACAACTAATTCATGAAAGTTATGAAATCAATGCATCAAGCATAACCCTACAACTGATGAATACCTAAGATCCATATCAAGTCATTGGCAATGGAGCTAAATCTATAAAATATGCCCACAAAATAGGAACATCACTAGAATAGGAAAAAGACCAAGCATCGCAAAGAAAACAAACTACAAGCCAAAAGGACAATGAACAAAAAAAAAAGCAACGAAAATAAAGCAAGATGGGGTGATAGCATACACCGAAGAGATAGAAGATAATACTTGAAATCACACATAAACAAGAGCAGTTCCAATAAAAAACATAAGACTACTTTTAACACAAGTCGAAGTGTGATTCATATTTTCATACCACTTAAACCATATATTTAATTATTCACTAAATTTCAGAGACAAAATAAGAAAGATAAAAACTAAATGCCCAACTATGTAGATAACTAGCACTTATCTTTTCCATTATTGCAAAAAATTTAAACCACACTATAGAAAAACTGTGATATAGAACGAATACTGAAAACATGGTCAACTTAAGTAAATGCTTACTCTGCAACATTAAGTGTTGAAAGTAGCCGATTAGGATAGGCATGAAACAATGTTCTTACTCTAACTTGAGAATTTATCTCCGATTGCATTAAGCAAATAAGATACCTCGTCTTTTAAAATAAAAAAATTGTTATACGTAATATATGTACCCACAAGGTCATGCCTTCTCGAAAATATCTAAATTTGACCATCTTTAGGTTGCAAGCAAAATAATACGCCAAGAGAACCAATAATATATAGATCAGATCCTCGCACACAATCAAATCTAACCATCAAACTCATTTCTTTCTTTTCTGAAAAAAGATGTGTATTACAAAGAGAGAAATGTACCTTAGCTTATTGATTTTTTACATATAAGAAATATGGTAAGTGATAATTGCTACGGATTTGCCTTGTTTAAAAAAACAAGACACATTGAAAAAGTTTATTATGTTTTTACCTGATGCAAACAATAAATAGAAACATAAGACAGAGATAGAGTAAGCATTAAACCATTTATATAACCACATCTGGAGCATGTCACAGCCTTCTTACTACTTGCCATAGCAGTGCACCTTTTAACTACCCTTTTAAAAATTTCGTTCTTCTTCAAATGGTCCAATTTTGGATTTCTCATCTTCTTTAAGAAGTCTACACGTTCTTCCTCCAGCAACAATATGCGAGAACAAAACTGAAAACAAAAAACAAATGGAAATGGGAAAGGGAAAGGGAAAGGGAAGGGAAAATAATTAGATAAATAAAGTCCAATATAAAAATTACAACAATTTATGATATGCATATACTATGGGTCAATTGTAAGATATAACATCAAATAAAGGTTTTTGACACACAATCGCACCAAACATCATATTGAGGCCTATGCTGTTAAAATCGTGATATATCGGTGATGTATCGGATATCGGTCTCTCGAAAAATATCAATGGAGAAATATCGGTCAAAATATCGGTTCCGATAATATCGCTGATAGTTCACCGATATTTTGATGGAAAAATCGGTCCGAAATAACGATTTTCTAAGGCAAATGTTTGGGCTTAGTTTTTTGGGCCTCTTTATTTAGTCAACCAGTCAACACATATATTAGGTCTCACGCTTCTTCTCTTCTCGGTTCTTCACAGTTCACGCTTCTTCTCTTCTTGGTTCTTCACAGTTCACGCTTCTTCTCTTCTCGGTTCTTTCACAGTTCACACTTATTGCTTGCAATTAGCTCATTTTTTAACACTTTTCCTATTTTGTTTTGTGAGACTTGTTTATGTGATGTTTTAATTTTGAAATTATATTTCTAAACTCTAATTAATGCATATGATATGTTTATGGATGCATTCATGCATAATATATATATATATATATATATAATTCTAAGAAATATTATATTAACCGCTATTTTGGATCGATATATCACCGATATAACCAAAATATCGAATATCACTCCTGACCGATATTTTGTATTTTGACCGCAATAACAGCATAGATTGAGGCCAACATGCTTCTAGATATCAAGCAACGATTGCAACATAAGCATAAAATCCTCAACATAAAAGTAAGATGCTTACGGCTAGCCATTCAACATTCCAGACTAAAAGATAAATATTTCATCCCACAAGCAACTATGGTAATGTTTTCTTGGCTGGTATTATGAGTATAGGTGAACTTCTCTTTTGCAAATGCTAGAGAACATCTTTCACTTGTTGCACTAATCAATTTGTATAATACCTATATCAATAAGCCCAACACCCTCTATTCTAGATCATTACTTAGAATTTTTATCATGATAACAATTGGCTTCAAAACCAGTTAGAGAGTAAACTCTCACTTTACAATCAAAGAAAGATGCTAAATGATTGAAAACAAATGAGATATAGGCATATTTACAGTTCATGTTTCAACACTTATCATCATCATGCTCATAATACAGGGGCCAATGTAACACCCTAGTTTCATATTTATTAAATTAAAATGTTTTAAGCCTTAAATGTAAATATTATGAGCAATTTAAATACTCTAAAAAGGTTCCAGCAGCTGTAGCATCTATTAAATTATCATATTTTCAAGACAAGTAGCCTACAAGTAGCTTCCAAGACAAAGCATGAGAAATCAAACCTAAAGTGATGGGTTGTAAGGGCTAGAAGTACGTGTTGGCAAGCTATTTGATGACTAAGCAAGTCTATTGACAAAGCATAACAAAGCAAGTCTAGTAAGCATGACAAGGCAAGCTAGTTATTAGTTGTCAAGGCTAGAAGCATGTGTTGGCAAAATCCATGATGACAAGCAAGAGCTAGAAGCATGAGGTGTCAAGATTATCCTCAAAAATGAGGTGTTAAACTCTCATAAGAGTATAACTTCAGGAGCAAGAAGAACAAGTAGTTAATGCAATGAATTTACCTATAAATAGGGATTGAAGTGTTACTATTAGCTCCATACCAAAAATAAGAAATCACTCTTTATACATAATCAAGCTTGAAAAAAGGAATTAAGGGAAAAGCTACGCATAATCAAGGTGAGTACGTTTGGAGATTTAGTGAGGTACACATATGCTATATAAATGTATTTTACGCATATTTGCTTAGATGATTTTGCAAATTTGCTTTAATGAAATGAAGATATACGTATGATGGCATGTTATGATGTGTTTTACACACAAGGCATGAAAGTTTTATGCATGTTATCTATGACCATAAATATCCAATGTACGGGATATAGAATGAAGGGACGTCTTGCACACAGACCTTATGGGGCAGCCTTTATGGACCCGGGGGTTAGCAAACCTCAAGACAAGTATGACATACTCACATGTTTCAAGTGAGATCTCAAAAGAATGTTTATGCATGATAAAAAATTATTTTTGTGCATGATCAAGAGTTGTAGTGAATTACTATTCACAAAAATGTTAAGCATCATAAAATTGTTTATTCATATAACCATAACTACTCACTAAGCTTTTTAGCTTATATATCTCATGTATGTATCTCAAGAAAGAAGTGAAGAGGATTTGCATGAAGTAGTGTTGTTCTAATTAATGGCAAATTTTGTTGTATTATAAGCTATTGAGTTACATGTCCGCTAGTATTTGAATTCCGATGTAATTATAAGCTAAGTTATAAATAAAATTGAATTTGAAGTTCATATTCAAGACGTAGTAGTAACAATAAGAAGGTAACGGCACCCGAAGTAGGATTTGGGGCGTTACAAGCAACTTCCCCAAAAATCCTCAATTTGATAAATTGGGCTTGTCCAAGTGGCTCTGACTTTCTATAACTTAGAGGTTCTAAGTTGGACTCCCACCCTTGGGTATTGCACATGAATTACGCATCTATGTGAAAATGGCAGGCAGCAAAAATTTCACACCCTCAGCCATTTGAAGACTTTCTTAGAAAAATCCCAAATCAGAGCACAAGCAAAGGCAACCATAAATTGCAGCTAGACTACCTTGCATATGCACTTCAAAATGTCCACAATATGAGATAAATATCCAACATTATAAACCGGCAGCACAAGTGTCAAGTAACCAAAGTGACCAGGGCAATTTTGGAATTGCCCATGACACGTATCACATGTGCCCAACTTGTTCGGAGGACCCTGAAATACCAACAAAGATGCCATTCAGAACTCCATGGACAAAAAGAAATAAAAGGAAATTAGATAATGCAGCAAGGCAAGCAAGCCAAAAAAATGTAGCGTAAGGTGGAAAGCAAAGATGTACCCACACAACTTCGAATTCAATTCATTCAACTAACAAATCACTAAACACCCAATTCAAGTAGCCCTTACACAAAAGAACATATTTTCACACGTCTTATTGACAGATATTATGATAGTAATACACCTAATAGCCACCTTATCAACACTAAACCCTTATCCATAGCTAAAATAAGATGCCTTATTGCATGTCACAAAGTGATCTGGCCTTCCTTCAAGAATTCTTCTACACTGTCACTATAAAGCAACAATAAGCCACTCAAGCTTTTAGACAACACAACAACATTATGAAGAATGTGATATAAGTAATTAAAATTGTTGCAAATTGCATTTGTTCCATGCTTAATACTTTCATCATTATGTAACATCAATCTTTAGTTCCAAACTCTTGGTATTTACATCAATCTTTAGTTCAAATTTCAAAACTATCAGTATTTACATCAAATTTAATTTGAATACTAGTAACTCCCTTTAGAGTAACATGGCACAATGACCTCAAATCTACCACTCACAATCAGTATCTCCTATGGGAAATGGACTCTACTTTCAAATTTAGAAGTGGTGATCAAACCGTCTATCAATTGCAGTAGAAAAAGGAAGAGCAAACGAATTACCATGTGGGGGTCCAACAAGCCATTCGGAACAGGGCTTTTGTTGTCTTGACTCACATAACATTGGGAACGAGAAACTTGAATTTCCCCCAGTTTGAGAACATCCGCATCAGAAAACATTGAGAACTTAATGCTCTTGCTGTTTTCAAATAACAAATTGAGCAGAATCAGTATGACTACTAACAATGGAAGAATTGAAATCGTATGAGAAAAAATTAGGAAAACTCTTACATCCTTCGTGGGCCAACATCTTCGACATAAGGTTGTTTTGTGAATGCAAGCGTGGTGTCTTGTCCTCTATTTCTGTTCATCGTGTTCGCCATAGGGGCTGTATATAACAATGATTGATCAATCATAAACTTACTTTGTTTCTTGAAGGGTCGATATCATTTACTAAAGATTAAAAATAACAGAGGCAAACCAATCTGTTGAATTTAAAACCAAAGACCAACTATGTATAGGTAGCATGCTTCAAAGGATTTAATACAACAACTTATGGTTTTTAAAAAGTTGAAATGTTAGGAACAAGGAACTTCACTCTGATTTAAGGTACAAAAGACTCCTATAATGTTATGAATAAGGACTTCACTCTGATGTTAAGAACAAAGAAGACTCCTATAATGTTATGAACAAGGGATTTAATACAACGAGGGACTTAACTTGCCTGCAAGTACCTAAATTTGTCCATATATTTCATGAATCCTAAAAAACCACATGGTTTTCTAAAAACAGGTAAGAGACTACTAGCTAGCTTGAGATATTCTAGATTTGGATGGTGCAACATGCTAAAATCAGCCAACACAATGCACAAAGACTATTGAAACTACTTATCTTAAGCATTTTGTTGAATAGGTAGTAGACGAACCATACCATAAATCCAAAACACGTAAACTCATCTTAAAAAAAACCCATTCTTAACAAACCAAAGCAGGACACAAAAAGAAAAAGAACAGATTGCAATGTAACTCAAATGTTGAGCATTAAAAAATGCCATCTTCTATTGAGCATTCATCGAATAGGTGGTAGATAAACCAAAATTCGTCAAAAAAGACATTCTTAACCAATGAAGCACATCAAATACACACAAATAAAAGAGAAATCAAAGTAGCACATAAATAAAAAAGAACAAATTGCATTCACACACCGACAGTGGCGGACGCAGAAAAAAATATTGTAGGGGGCACGATATCATCATCTTTTTCTTATCGGCCGGATCCCAAGGAAGATCGTTCAATTCAATTTCGCAAGACATCGAAGGAGCAGAGCTCGATTYAGGTGTTGATGCTTTCCTTTTAAAAAAACTTTCCATTTGATTTGCCTAATTGCCTACAAAATTACCCACAAAATTTCCCACAAAATTAACCTAAAATACCTAACCTATAGCATTTACCAATTACCAATTACCACAAAATTAACCAACAAAATTTACCTAAAACATTTACCAATTACCAATTACCACAAAATTAACCAACAAAATTTACCTAAAGCATTTACCAATTACCACAAAATTAACCAACAAAAATTACAAAATTAACCTAAAATAAATACCTAACCTAAAGCATTTACCAATTAGCAATTACCACAAAATTAACCTAAATAACTACTACTTGAAGTTGGAATTGGAAATTAGAAATTTAGAATCTTTACCCAAGTCAAGAGGCACAGCAGGTCAGCAGCACAGTCGGTCTCGGACCGCTCGTGCCTCGTCCGCTCGGTCAGTCGGCTAGGCCGCTAGCCGCTAGGGTTTCGTCGCACACACAGCAGAGTCGCAGCACAGTCGGTCGCTCGGTCAGAAGAAGAGAAGATGGTCGCTGCTCGCTGGTCCTGGTCCTGGTCGGCGTGGTCGCATACTCGCATCCGATGAAGAACAGAAAAGAGTAGAAGGCTGGCCTCTTGTCTCATTTTGTTGGGGGCCCATATATATTTAGTTAAAAAATACAAAGTAAAAAAAAAATTGGGCTTTCATAGGTAAAATTTGTTGGGGGCCAGGACCCCTACCACCTTAAGGTAGATCCGCCCCTGCACACCGAGACATATTTCAATGAAGGACAAGATCAATAAACCTAATAAGCACATCAAATAGAACATAAGATATTTTATGGAGAAGAGGTTTTACCGAAATCACGAGTGTCGGTTACTAGTACGGAAATCAACTGTGGTAGCGTCGGCCACAGGTAGTCGCCGCTTACTGATGTGCGCTGTTACTTTTGCCAGAATCGAGGGTGAGGAGAGGGATATCGAGAGCGAAACGAGCGGTAACTTACAGGTGATGGAACGATACACGCATATTGAACCATTAAGAGCTATTACTTTTTTCCCAAACAGTCAGCACATCTGATCGATTCAGATATGGACTCTTGGATGATTATTCTTTCATGGAAAGAATCCTACAAATTCGACGAATAATTTTTTATTTTTATGATATTAAATATGTCTTTAACCTAATATACCATAATATTTATACTATATTATAAAGCATTTGACAAAAACTCTTAAAAACTACTTTTTATGCATGAAGTAATGTTTATTGATGTATATTACTTAAAATTCAAGATTACAAGTAGATTGTGTTTAAGTACAACTTATTAAAACTCTATGTTTGAATTCTTGTAACTAACTGCAGATAAACATAATCAAATAAATAATAAATATCTCATTTTAAAATATATAAAATCTAAAATATAATTAGGATAATCATTAAATTCTAACAAAATACTTAATTATTATCTTTATAAAATTTTATTATTAAACCTAAATTAAATTATAATTAAAAAATTTAAATTAAGGAAATTACACCAAAACACAATAACTTTTAAAAGGATTAATTTGATGCTCATATCGATATATTTTTCTAAAAAATTTATAATATTTTATTCAAAAATAAAAACATTATCGTTTTCTCAAAACCACATAAAACCGTATTATATCGACATAACAGATGAATAAAACGAAACATTGAAATTAAGATGTGTTTCGATGCATTGCACGAGTACCATTCTCGTCATAAAAATCAGAATGTCCACCATCGATCACCGTCATTTGAATCACCGCCGACCATCGTCATCTGAACCACCACTGATTACCACCGATCTGAACCACCTCTGACCACCACCGATCTAAACCAAAGCGAATTTGAACCACGACGGATTTGAACCACCGCTAAGCACTACCGATCTGAACCACCGTCAGCCACTATCGATCTGAACCACCATCGATCTCATCCACCGTCGATCACCGTCGGTTGAACCACCACCGATCACCGCCGGCTGAACCTCCATGGACCACCACTGATTTGAACCATTTTTTACCATCGTCATCTGACCACAACGGACTACCATCGATATGAACAACCACCAATTACTATCAATCTGAATCACCGCCGACCATCACCGATTTGAACAACCACTGATCTGATCCATCGCCAAACTGAACTATTGCTAATCTGAATTACCGTCGATCTGAAACACATCCGACCACCGCCACCTAAAGCACCACGAACCACCACTGATTTGAACCACTGCCGACCACCGACGACCACCAACGTTTGAACAACCACCGATCTAAACCACTGTCTATCTGAACCACTGTTGACCACCTCCATCTGAACCACTGCGGACCACCATCGATCTGAACTACTGTCGACCACATCCATCTAAACCACTGCCGACCACCACCGATCTAAATCACCGTGGACCACCGCCATCTGAACCACCGTCAACCACCGTTGATTTAGTAACGTCGTTTGACTTATGGTTATATTTGGGTTGTGTATTTTATATTGTTTTACATATTAAATAATTATTTTATTAAAGTATTTTTGGTTTTAAAAAATTATAATTTTCAAAAAAGGACATTTCGGCCATTTACCAATATTTCATTCCAATTCCAAAGCTACGTCTTGTAAACCAAACAGACATATTCCAATTATTTAACAGATTCCATTCTAATACCAAACAGGTGGTTAGACATGACAACATTTCATTCCAATTTTTTCAAAATCAAAATCCTTAAACAGATTCCATTTTATCCAAAAACATTCTGCAAACCAAACGCCACCTAAGGATCAATAGAGGGATTAACGCTTGCATTGTGTTCTCGAAACCTTTTTTCCGAAGGGAAAGAAAGAAAACTGAGGGAAGGAGAGGAAAGTAAAAAACTCGTGTTTTTTAAACTTTTTTAGGAGAACAATAAAAGGAAATGGAGGAAAAATAATGATAAGTTTCCTCCCAAATGCGGGAGGAAAGGAAATAAGTTAAAACTCTTTAAAAGGATTATTAAAATTACAAAACTTTCATATAAAATGATATATTTTTAGAGGGTATATTGGTAAAAACGAAAGTTTTCCCTTCTTTTCAAGAACATGAAAAAAAGCTTTCCCTTTTTCTTCCCTTTCAAGAACGCAACTAAAATATTTATTTTCCTTTCTTTTCTTTTCCTTTATCTCCGAAATCGAAAACACAATTTTAGGGTTTTAGAACCCAAACAGTTTATGAACCCTACAATCCATAAATAGTGAAATGAAAATATTTGATGGAGTCTGAAGGGTTTACCAGCATAATTCCATTAAGATCAAATCTCTAATTATTCGCTCATAGAGTTACTCGGTTCAAAATATTTGATATTGAAACGATCATGCATATATGCTTCTTTGTTAAAAATATATCACGCATTTATGCCCCTTTATTAAAAATATCTACACGAGTGTTTAAAATTTTTGATTATTTAGGGGCCGTATATTAAACACTTATTTGGTAAGTGTTTATTGGCAGTAACAAATTCAAAAATTTTAGTGAATAGTGTCGGAATTTAAGTAACAATTCTTTTTACATTTAATTGGGTGAATAAAGAGGGGTACCCAGCCAAAATTCATGGAACCGGTAACTGAAATCGGCGGTTCCTGGAATAAAGAAATTCCATGGAACTAGTACCAATGGTTCTTTATATTTGGAAACCGGTCCCGTACCTGCTTGGAACCGGTCCCGATGTCGGGTACCCGGGTGTCTAAATTCTTTTAAAATTTTATCATTTCATACTATAAATTTTTTGATTATTAGTCTATTACAAAGTACTGATGTAAAGAAATAAATGCTACAAATGGTGAAAACTAATCTAATAAAAACTAAAAATTACTTAAATAAAAGATAAATTAATAATTTCAATATTAGTTTATTAAATATAATATACATATAAAATATTTTTTATTAAAAAAAATAGTGGGAACTCGTCAGTTCCGGTTCTAGGTACCTAGCGGGACCAGGTACCCGGTCCTGTAGTCGGTTCCGAGAGGTACCAATGGTTAACGGTTCTAAAAAGTGAGAATCGGAACTGGAACCAGTCCCGATCGGTTTCGTATTTTAAAAACCGGAACCAATCACATCGGTTTTGTATTTTAAAAACCGCAACCAATCACATCGGTTTCGATGTTTCCAAGACAAATACCTGGTTCCAATACTCACATTTGTTTAATTCAGATGGATAGTAAGAAATCATTCAAAGTCAAATAAGTAGAGATTGGTCAAAAATATTATGAAAACAAGAAAGGTACTCGCGCAATGCAGCGAAATACATCTTGATTTTAATATTTCATTTTATTCTTTATCTCAATCGATGTTATAGTATGGTTTTATGTGATTATGAAAAAGTGATGATGTTTTTATTTTTTAATAAAATATAAAATTGAAGATATCATAAATTTTTGACAAAAATATATCGATATTAGTATCAAATTAACTATTTAAAGTTTTTATTTTTTGTATAATTTTTTAATTCATTTTTTTTATAATTTAATTTATGTACAATAATGAAGTAATTTATATTTGGTTTAATAATATAATTTTCTTATAAAGATAATAATTAATTATTTTGTTAGAACTTGATAATTATCCTAATTATATTTTAGATTTTTTATATTTTAAAAAAAATGTTTATTCTCTATTTGATTATGTTTATCCGCAGTTAGTTACACGAATTCAAACATGGAGCTTTAATAAGTTGTACTTATGCATAATCTACTTGTAATCTTGAATTTTAAG